GAATCCTCGGCATCACCTTTATGGACTCCTATAGCCATTGCCGATTCCACGTTGACCATGGTCTTCAATTTCCATGGACTTCATCACAGACCTGCCATCATCGAACTCATTTGATAGCATCTTTGTCGTGATAGATCGGCTTACAAAAATGGCGCACTTTGTCCCTTGCAAGAAGACATCGTCCAGTGAAGTCATAGCAAGGCTCTTTCTCGGTAATGTGTATCGTTATCACGGACTATCAGATGATATCGTATCAGATCGAGGAATCCAGTTCGTATCAAAGTTTTGGAGATCTCTCTTTGAGATATTGAAGGTGGATATCAAGCTTTCTTCGGCTTTTTATCCTCAAACTGACGGCCAAACGGAACGAGTGAACCAAATCTTGGAACAATACTTACAATGCAGCATCAACTATCAGTAAGACGATTGGACCGCATATCTGCTGCTAGTCGAGTTTGCATATAACAACACCCTCCATGCGTCGACTCAATACACACCATTCTTTTCCAACTATGGATATCATTCGAAGCTTGATTTATTGAGTCCGTCAACAAATAACAATCCAACAACTGAAGGATTTACGAAACAACTATCAAAGCTTCAAAATACATTGAAGCTTCAATTACAATCCGCTCAAGAATCCTACAAGGCGTCTCCAGACAGATTTTGGAATTAAGCACCTACTTTCAAAATTGGAGATAAAGCATGGCTTCTTTGACAGAATATCAAGACCAAGCGACCATGTGATAAGTTGGACTATCAAAGATTGGGACCATTTATCATCCCGAAGCAAATCAATCTAGTGGCGTACCATCTGAAATTACCAACTTCTATGAAGGTACATCCAGTCTTTCATGTTTCTCTGTTGGAGCCTTATCGAGAGTTGTCTTTTCTTGAAAGAGTGCAATGTCTGCCACCTAGTATTGAGATCGAGAACTACGAGGAATACGAGGTTGAAAAGGTATTGGATTCACGGCGAAGGTGGGGCAAGTTGGAGTATCTTGTTCATTAGTACGGCTACAACATTAATGAGCAAACGTGGGAGCCAACTGAAAATCTCACCAATGCGCTGCAAAAGATACAGGAGTTTCATCAACAACATCCTCATAAACCTAAGTTGGTTCGATGATAGCTTCCTTCTGAAGCTTGCTCACTCAAGAATATAAAAAAGGGGGAGAGCACCACCAAAATTCGTAATTGATGTAGTTATTTTCTCCAAGATAAAGTAGAATTTTTTCAATAGCCATAGTTTGGTCTTCTGATATGGATAGCCAAGAGATAGATACTATGCCAGTCAGATTATCTCAACCAACTAGCTCACGAAGGTGACCCCGAGATGAAGAACTGCCTACACCACGACGACGATGGAGGATACCGAGTAAACAATCATTGGTGATTGTATTTGAGTTCGAGCCTGCTTACAATGGTGAACCAAACGGCGTGTTTGCAAGACAATTTCACAATAAGGACACGAAAGTTTATGCTTGGTTAGAAGTCAAAGGTGTGGGCCACTACTGTTGACTTCAAGGACCAATGAACTACTTGCCTTGTGAACAATAGTTGGAGTTCATAGCAGACGTTATGCGACAGATCTTCATTTTCTTGTGTTGGTACTGATTAACAACAACATTGCTTCTCAGAGACCTCGAAGCTAAAGGAGGGGGTGATGTTAGGGACATAGTCCTTAGAACCTTCGAGAGACAAGTTTCTAGAACCTTCTAGAAGCAAGTCTCTAGAACCTTCTAGAAGCTTCCTAGTTGCTAGAAGTTGCTTGAGAAGCTTCCTAAATAGGGGTATATATTGGAATCGAGACTGAAGAGTTCTTTAGTCTCGACAACACATCTCTTGGAGCTCTAGCTCACCTCTCTAGTATTGTTCTTGTATTCATCTGATTAATCTAGTTCTTGCCAGTTCTTCTTGAACTTCTTGTTAGATCTCGAGCCTGTATTTCTGTGTACGTGATACTAATGATCTTAGAATTGGATAGCTTTGTAGTTAAAGTTTAATTGCAAATTATACTTGATTGATGAATTCTTAAAATTTTGATCTTATACCATCAAACTTCTTAAGCAAAATAATTCTTAATTCTCTAATACTTGAATGATATTCTTCTATTAAAAAAAGTAGCATAATTTGGTGTAGATATTGAAACAACTTTAATCATCTTTATATCTTCACTACTTGCCAATCTTGTTGCTCCTAGTGGTAAATTGAGTTGTTACATAGCAAGCATTAACTCCCTCAATTGCTCTTGCATTTGTGCCATTGCACTCTTTATTTCAATAAGTTTTGCCATGATTATATAATAAAAAAAAATGTTTAATATCTCTTGAAATAAATAGAAGAGAAGACTAAGAAACAAAAGAAATTCTAAGAACAATATTAGTTTAAAAGTAAGCAATTTGTTACTTTTAATATACTTATATCTTATAAAAAAGAAAAGATAATCTATTATTAATAAATAAGAAACAAAGCTTTGATATTATAAGTGTACTCTTGTCAATCTGTCAAGGATAAGAATTCAATGAAAGAAAACAAACAAGTGAGATTTTTTTCAAAGAAAATTAAATATTTATATATATATATATATATATATATATATATATATATATATATATATATATATATATATATATTAAAAAAAACTATAATAATTATTACCAAAAGACAAGAAAATTAGAAAATCTGGAAATTAGACTAAAAGTAAGAAAAAAATTGGTAAGAGTAAAGAAAGCTTCATTCTTGCCTTTATATATACTATCTACATAAGATCTATATGGCAACGTTTTATAGGACCTCCAACATGTGTCTAATTTGTGAGACACATATCTTAACTTATAAGGCAAATTTCTTATATGTATACTATACTATTAACTTGTACCACATACTATTAATATGTATAATACATGGCTTACTTGTTGGCTAAATTTCTAAACTATTAATCACCTATAGAAAGGTATAAAGATGAAATTATATCTATAAAGCTTCTATAAAACTTCTAAAAAGCTTATCTATAAGATATTATGAAATTAATCTATTTTTATTTACTTCTATTTATTCATATTATCTAGATAACTATTAGAGTAAATTTACATGTCTTTAATATCTTAGAAAATGTACATATACATTATGAATTGGTGGAATTGTGATATAAAAACTGAATTGTTCTTTGTTATAGCTAAGATATACAACAATGTTATTGCATATATTTATTGCAAGAATGTTAAGAGCCAATGGTCTATATATGCTTTGATAGATGAATTAGAAAGAATAAATATGTGAATATGTAATGTAATGTAATAATGGCAGCAATATTATGCAATTATTTCTAATTCATCTACTATCCATTAATATAACAAGAAAATTCTATAGCATGATGTTTTTGGATTGCCCAAAAAAAAAAAAAAAAAAAAAAAAAAAAAAAGATTTTTTTTAAGGATTGTAGGTTGAAAAAGGTAAAATTTATTATTTTATTTTTACTTTGCATTCATAGTCAAGATAGAGACAACTACAAGAGGGCATTGATACAAATCTATGGTTTTTTCAAGGGCATTGCAATATTAGAGGTAATTTCTACAAACAATAGTTTGATCTTAATCTTTGTAGTTGCAACTATTATTTCCAAAATTAAGGATTTTTTGTGCCTTTAGCACATGGACAAAAGTTACTCTTAATTCACCTAAAGATGCATATAATATTATTTTTATTAATCTACTTTGTTTTGTCTTGTTTAGAACTATACCAAATAAGTAGAAACTTTTTCTTGCAAAAAATAAAACATAAGTATAAAATTATTTTTACTACCTTCCTAACTTTTGTATATGCTTTTAAAATAATTTTCTACTATATTTTCAATCAAGCTCTTTTATAATATAATCCTTCTTTTTTTTCTTTTTTTTTATCCAATAGCCATATTACAATATAATAATTTTTGCAATACCAAAATCTAAACAAAATGATTTATGAAAGGAAGTCCAAAATCTAAGTAAAAAAAACGTGTTTTTTTGTTCATGCTCTCTCTCTCTCTCAATTTTTTCATTTCTTACTTGAATGATTTTCTTAAACAAAATATCTTTCCAATCAATATTATATGCAAAGTTGATATAAATTATATCATAGGTTCAAAAATAGTTTGAAAAAAAAATGGTATATTTTTAAAAAACTTATAATAGTTTTTTAAAACTATTTAAAGAAATCTTGGTGTTTGAAGAATTTGATGTTTGAAAAATTGATTTTAAATAACATTGGTAGAAAATATATAAATTTTAGTTTTTTTAATCTCATAAAATTATATTTTAAAGATTGAATTTTAAAAAATTTCATAAGATTGAAATTTTAAATAAAATAAATTAATTATTATGTTTAAATAGCATTGAATTGTGATTATTATGTGCACTGAGTTTTTGTGTGCAACATACATATAAATGTTTATATATGTATACACACACCATTTTATGTGTTATTACAAATAAATTTCATCATGAATAGTATTCTAAAATAAAATGCCTAAAATGATATGCTTACATAAAATAATTTAATTAATAACATATATTATAATTATATTTTCATGATATTATTAAATTTGAGTTTATTATTTTAAAAATATTTTGATCTTTTCATTCAACTTTAAAATTATTTTGAAAACCAAGATGAAATTTATTTATTTAGTGAACAGTTTGTAGGAAATTGTATATGCAGAAATTTGAAATTCTCTTGTGATATTGAAACCAATCAATTCATAGAAACAAAAAAAAGATCATCCGAAAAAATATATATAGATGATCGGATGTAACGAGTGATGATATTCATTCATCACGCGTGCTTAGAATGAGGCGTGCATATCTTAATATCATAAGGATGTCGATTCAATAGAGTTTTGTGTGGGTTTCAGTCGAGCAGGGAAAAGAAGTGCCGAGTGTGTTGAGGCAGTCGATCGACGCTGATGAATGTAGGATATAGATGAATGAAAACGTTCAAACATGGATGAAAACCTAAGAAGCCTCCGCCATAAAGGATGGCGTGTGATTCTTTAAGGTCTCTTTGCTCTCCTCTGTTTCGGTGACGACGCACTCATCACGCTGCTGCTGAGCCCACTAGAGGAGGGGCGGTTCGGCCTCCAGCCATGCAGATCTTTGTGAAGACCCGTGAGTTCCTCTCTTGCTTCGCCGCATTTGCTTTTCCTTGTTGTATTCTCGCTTTCTGTGTTTGGACTTCTGCTTTATTCATGTATTGTAACGTTTAAATTGCGGCGCTGATGGGAGATTTGCTGTGTTTTCGTGATGTGTTCAGTGACGGGCAAGACTATCACCCTTGAAGTGGAGTCTTCTGATACCATCGACAATGTGAAGTCAAAAATTCAGGACAAGGAGGGAATTCCCCCCGACCAGCAGCGGCTGATCTTCGCCGGAAAGCAGCTCGAGGATGGACGCACTCTGGCTGACTACAATATCCAGAAGGAGTCAACCCTGCACCTGGTACTCCGCCTGCGAGGTGGAGCGAAGAAGAGGAAGAAAAAAACCTATACGAAGCCGAAGAAGCTGAAACACAAGAAGAAAAAAGTGAAGCTCGCTGTGTTGCAGTTTTACAAGGTGGATGACTCCGGGAAGGTGCAGCGGCTGCGTAAGGAGTGCCCTAACCCTGACTGCGGGGCGGGTACGTTCATGGCGAACCACTTCGACCGACACTACTGTGGGAAGTGTGGTCTGACCTACGTGTACCAGAAGGCCGAGGCTTGATTGGGCTGAACTATGTTCTGGATGAGAGGAAGTGGGCTTGAAGGGTAGTGAGATATCATGTGCAGGTGCTAGTTAGAGGCAGTGTTTACTTCAGTGGCCAATTACTTAATAGATCACATATGAAGTAAATTTTTTTGAGTTTCACGCAGTAATCTGCTAGGGATGTGAATTTCGCAACCATCGATGTCATGGCCTTGCAATGATTCCTGTCGTCCACGCTGATCCTTGCTGGTGAGTGGTTCGTGCTCTGATAGAGATATCGAAGCATTGTCTGTCGTGTATCTGGGAGCTGATATCAACGGTTTGTGTTGGCGAATTGCTACGTAATATGGTGTAAGTGAAGTTGATATGTCAATTAAATTCAATTTCATTCATCTCATCAGGATCGACTTTGACCTGCCACTAGGTGGTAATACTTTACTCATACTTAACTACAGTTCCGTGCAAAAGCTCGCTGCGAAAAATTGAATGCCTCGTGGTTCGCGCAATCTGCTGCTCAAATGATCATCGAACGCGAAAGCATGAATGACAACCATGAAATTCTCAATTGATCATGAACAATTATTCCCCAGGGCTAGGATGTGAAGATCTGGAGAATTTGACCTTGACTAGAATTTCCCGTACATGTCATTTGTGAAATTTGAAGTTCACAATCGTAATTGAAAACGTGACAGCCTGATCATTTCTCAGGGAAGTAAACACAAAGTGGCTTAGCTCCTATTGTGAAGCAAATTTCAACTACCAATTACGAGCAGGAATGATCCGATAATGTAGTCGCTTAAACTAAATGTGAAAGCCAAAACCTGGTTGAAAACGCACTGGCCACGCTGGAGAACACATCGGCAGACTTGGCCCAGGGCCATTTAACGACCTGTGCCACATGGCCACTATAACGGTTAGGGAGTAGGCCGTAGTCCCTGCGTAAGGACTTTCAGCCTCCTCTGCCATGGTGTCTCTCACCTTCCCTCCCTCGCTGCCTTGAAAACCGGCTTCCTCGATAGCTGCACCAGATTGTGAATGCTCGTTCTTTACCCGAAATCAAAATTTCTGTAGTTTTCGAATTGATCTTCCCAATGAGCTATCTTTCCAGCGCAGGCATTGTGTGGAGAATGATTCTGTAGTTATAGACACTTCCCTCAATTGAAAGGAGTTGAATCAGAGGTGCATGAATGGTAGTTACTGTGGAAAGAACATATGAAGAGCAATGACTTGGAGTACGTGACGCGCTCTACAGAATGTAGAGTTTGATATGAAGACGAATTTTATATGACGGATCTCTGCGGTTTTGTGGGTCGTGGATAGGTATACTGCCAGCTGTGTGTGTGAGAGTGAGAGAGAAGCTTGAGTACGTAGTTTTTGATCCTTTCGGGCTGAAATTTGGGCTGATTTGGATTAGGTGCTGGAAGCGAGGGCACACCAGGTAGGACTGCATGGAAACCGCATTTGAAACGACCAGCAACCAGCAGCAGGACTGAGATTACAATATAACTGCCTCAGCACTCGTGACTGATAGATCGGCAGACTTGTTTAGAATAAACTCTCGAATCAGTTTTAGGTCATGAGTGTCGGTTCCGGTGGGCCGAGGGGGGGGATGGTGAAACACAGCGATGAATATGTGGTTGTTCTGTGCTGTATGCTCTTCCTCTGAAACTTCACAAGGAGTAATTGTAGCTTGTTGACATTGTAATAATAATCCCGCAATCCTTGTCTGTTGCTTCTCAATCTTTCCTGGGAACTTGGAAGTAAAGATTTTTCAGCTCCGTTCGGGGTTAATATTTTCTATGCACCCTATGCGTGTCATTAGGGTGTGCTCGCCACATTCTGTAATTTGTTTCGCAACATGTTTTCAAAAAACATCTCCTTAGTTTAGTGATTATGGCGCTGATTATTTAAAATTAACTATTTTATGTTATAAATCCGAAGGGATTGCATCGTATCTGTGCTATTTTCTTGATTAGTTCAGAATGGTGGTATGTTCAATCCCCCTTGCTGTCCCTATGTCAAATTTCTAACTCAATTTTTGTGGAACGCAGAGCTTTAAGCTGCACTGGAGATGCTTGAAGTTCTTGCAAATTAACTCAGATGATCTTTCAATTCTGATGAAGCATGGATGGGCCAGTTTTACCTTTAACATTTTATTGCCGCAATGCGCAGCTGTGTTTGTCCAATGCCACTGAATTGCAGAAATCGGGCTTTGGAGAGGAGGAGCTTCAGCACCTTAGAACCTTCACGACGCTGGTTACAGAAACCATACCCTCACATCCGAATTATCGTCCTGAGGACAAACAGGTTCTAGAGCTGCATGCATTTCTCCCCGACGCCTCTGAACGGATCAGAGAACTTGAAGGGCATTGCGTGGAGCTCGCTTGTGATCGTCCTCAGTCTGCAACTCATGGAAGCCACAGCAACAGACATTCGAAGCCACCACTAAATATATCAGTTCCCAATAGATCACTTTCAAAGACTGCAACAGGGGGGCCGCTACACTGCAACACATCATCTTCTGTTTCTATGACGAAGCCGCAAAAGAGCGTACGAATTGCAAGCACATCTAGGTCACTAAAACACTCCCTAGCGGAGAAGGACCACAAGTGGGATGTTAACTCCTCGTCCAACTTGCAGGAAATCTACGGAACAGTTCTGGCCAAGAGTACAACCCCGCCGCGTCCTGTTTCTCTCAACCAGAGATCGAAGGATGCTAAATCTCCCCTGCAGCACTCTCAATCCGGAAAGGAAATTACTAGGTCTTCGGTTTTACAGCACTCTGCAGCAGGTTAGTAACTGTAAATATCAAGGCTGAGCTCAGCCGGCAGTGAGTGCTCTTGTGTTATGGTCTATTGAAGATGAAAGTGTTTTGCTTCCTTTAAAGTGGACATAAGTAGCCTAGACTTGCTTGTATCCTCATCATGTATGCCATATTTAAATTGTTTCATTAAATCCTTTCCATAGTCTGAAAAAATACAATACTTGTGTATGTAATGTTGTAGTTAATAGTTAGCTCGTGAAACATTTCACAAACATAACTTGATAGGATAGTGTAAATCGGTTATCTTGTACAGGTGAGCTTATGCCTTACCTACCGAAGAATCGAGATATGTTAAGGGTGAGAGGGGGAAGAGGTGCAGCTACATTAAGCACCAGTAGACGCTGCAAAAACGCAGAGAGACAGCCATCACAGGCGAAGAACGCAGAAATGACCTCCTGTGGATCCGGTCATGAATCTCCGGCATATGAAAAATCTAGCATTGCATATGAAGGTACTGAGGGTGGGGATAAAGATCATGGTGGCCAAGTGGAGTGCACCGGAACCTCTCAGGAAGTGATGCCACCCAAGTCGAGAACACAGGTGATAAGCAAGCACAAGCTTGCAAAACATGCCGCTGGTGGACGAACTAGTATGAGAGCAGGTGAGGACCGGGCTGAGACTTTGGAGCAAGAGAGCGGTGGCAATGTGGGTGCTGTGGGGACCAACCAGGAAGAGGATGAAACTGATTATGAAAATTTTGACGGTTTTCGAACTGGCTATGGTGATGAATGTGTTGAGTCGGATAGCTTGAAACACAGCCACCTCAGTAGGAAGAAGCAGCATGAGGATCACCAACGGCATGAGTCTCGGAGCAATGGTTTGCAAGAGTGGAAAGGAGATTTTGTTGGAAATTCTGAGAGGATGAATAGAGGATTTGATGAGGATGAGACACCGAGCGATAGCCCTGCAACAGCCTCGCAGTTAACGCGTAAACACAGCATAGAGGGAAGGGTAGACAATCGACCAGCATCTGCACCACGGAGAATGCAAGGGGGACTGGCGTATCGCAAATCTAAAGAAGCAGGTGAAAATTTGGATGATGTAGAGATCAAGAAAAGAGAGTCCAGAGTGTTTTTGGGTGCGACAGTCGAGCATGACAAACTCTCTTTTCTGGTACCAGAATTGCAAAGAGGAATGAAGGAGGATTGTGAACATTTCCGTCAGGAAATGCGGCTTCTTAAGGAAAAAGCTCAAGATTCTAGAATCAGAGAAGTGGGTGTTGAGGGATTGACAGAGATATCGCAGCTTCGATTGGTAGATGAGATAGATTTTGCCTGTGTTGATCCTAGCCGAATAAAGCATAACAGAGGCCAAGCCCCACGCGACATAGCCAATGTTTGTGCAGTGCATGGAACTGTAAGAGCATCACCTTGCATAAATAGGTTCAGAGGAGGGTATACTCCTGTCAACCACGGTGCTCTTGATCCTGCCGCAGTGCATCATGACGATCAACCTGGTCGTGCACATCCACCACAGACGAGCCCATCCGTTACCGCAAGTGGCTCTACCTCTGGATCCTCCGGAACCTCCCTCCCTCTCTCCCATTACATTCAGAAACTGAAGAATTTCTCCCCCGATTCTCAGCTTGGGTCCACCAATCGCGAATGGCTATCTCCTGTTAACAAGCCCGCCAGAGAGGGTTCAAATCACTGCGACTATCAAGAAAAAGTTACCCTCGAGGATACAGAAGAGTTGCCAACTTCAAATGAGCCAAGGAATGGCTCGAGTGATTCCTCGGCAACTCCGCCACTGTCAGGGGGATCTGCATCAGCAATTCTTGTGCCTGCGTCTGCTAATTCCTCGAATAGCTCTCGTGGGATTCCTCGCTCCCAGTCGCGACTGGCGAACAGATTTGGGCCTGTGAGGACATCAACGCTCTACGCATCCCTTGCTCATCCGACTCCTCTAGCGAGCACTACGAAGTTCAAGTCTTCACAAGTGGACTCTGGGTACATTGCCCTGCTAAACTCAAATCCTAAGTCCCATCATGAACACGAGGAAAAGGCCGCGGCAACGTTTACCACTTTCAATGACCAGGTTCCGCGTATGTACTTCCAGAGGGACATCGAGGTAATTTCATCAAGTTTTGTAGCTGGTTAACTGCTTGTAATACAACCTCATGCATAAATTACCTGTTAATCAAGATATAAAGTTTTGGTAGAATTCAACAATCAGATATTCAAGTATAACTGGCGCCCTAGCTATTGCTATGGTAGTGTTCTCATGAGTGAGAGGGCTTTGGTTTGTTTTGAAGAATCATCCGTCATTGGAAGGGAAAGATGACAAGATGAACAACGTTCAGCGCTTGCTTGGTGAGTTGAAGGGTTCGGTGGAGGGTATGGAAATACGACTGGAGATAGACGGGCAGGGGTGGCGGGGGCGTTTGGATGGATTGGAGAAGGTACTTGAAAACATGAGGGAAGAAGCAGATGATGAGATTATAGCTGCCAAGCACAGTCTTCGGAATGAAATGAAGGTAAAGCTGGGCGATCTCATGGCGGAGATGGAGAAAATCCGACGTCAAGAGAGAAATGAGGTACATTGTTATTCTAATAATTGTGTTTGCTTGATCTTTAGAAGTATGTGCCGCGTTTTATAGTCGTGTACTTGGTTGCTGCTTCAGAGTAACATAATGCGAAGAAGTGTGTGCCCTCTATTTGTACTAAAGAATGATGATGAATTGGATAAGTCTTGTACCTCAGGTAGAAGTTATGATGGAGGAAAGGATTGAAAAGCAGCTCCAGTCACATAGAGATACCAAAAGCTCTGTTGAGACGGGCGATGAGGTTCGTCTTTTGTGGGCTGAAGTGGAAGCTCTTGTGAAGAGTAGAGAGGAGATGCAACGTCATGTGGAGCATCTTACATCTATAGCTCAAAAAGCGCAGGAGCACGCCGATCGAGAGCATGACATGCTTAAGACAGAGAATGAATACCTTCGCCAACAGTTGCAATCTCTCAAAAATGACGGTGCTCAGGTTAGGCAGCTTCCTTCTCGTCAAATTGTCCCGCTTTTCCCATTATTATATTCTGTAGCTACCGATTAAGGAGGATCTACGGAACATATGCTATGAAATGCTGTAGTAGACTCAGCATAGCGTGATGTTGACTATTTGGACCTCCAGACTTGTAATTATGAGGAAGGTAAAGAAGGATAAGAAAATCGTAGCTGATGAGCTTTATCTACGCAATAAATTGACTGTATTACTATGCCACTCCCATTTCATTCTATCAATTGATAACCACGCTGAAACTTGTTTCACGTTATGGCGCAGATTAGGTTGGAAACTGAGGACTTCCGAGTAGAGCGAGAAGACTTAAGACTAGCAGTGGATATGCTGAGGAGAGAGGGATCTGACGTGAAATTAGAGATTCAGAGTCGTAAACAAGTGGAGAAGCTTATTGAGGTGATTACACTCTATTTTTAAATCGACATTATAGATTACTATAATTGAAGGCAGGTTGGTACTTGAGATTAGATGTTTTAATGGATTGAAATGCAGTTGCTGTTAAGATGAGAAGGATGAGGTACCGATCATGATCTCTTTCGGAGCTTGTTTGTGGTAAATACTTTCATTCTGCAGTACACCTTGAAGGCTAAGTTTTTATTTATTTTTGAATAACTTGCAGGTGGAGTTGGGGAATATACGATCAGAATTAGCAAAGTTGCAAGAGGAAATAAAAGATATGGAGCGACAGAAGGGGGCGTCGCAAATAGAAGGTGGTCGGGAGCGTGTATTGATTATGGAGAGAGTAGAGAGTTTGTCACAGCTTTACTTGGGTGGCTTGGAGGGACTCAGAGCAGATTTTTGTGACGTGAAATTCAACTGTCGAGATCGAATTCAGGAATTTGAAAACAAATGGAAAGAATTTCAAAAACATCAACCAGAAGAGTCCACCTTCGCAACTAAACAGGTCAATGAAAGCCATCACATACAAGCAATACCTTGCACGATGTTCCAATTTAGTCTTCAATGTGTGAATACTTTTAATCGCTTCCATTTGAAAACGAGCGATACTGAATCGCCAACAGCTTTCATATATATATATATATATATATATAGAGGAGGTAAAGCTGGCACTAGCACTGACTTCTGATTGCCTGCTCTAATCCTCACCAGAAATTCGGACAGATTTAAACTACCCAACGTGGTTGTAAGGCCATTGTTGGTTATCTGTGACTGATTTGAAATTTGTGGGATATTTTGGACTGTTTTATGGCAGATGCTTGTGGATGAGCTGGATCACTTCCGAGGCGAGATAGCAGAGATGGTAGAGGTTGAGCGCGGTATTCTGCGACACACCCTTGACCGGGAGAGTGATTCAGTGCATCGCCAAGTCAAGGAGTTGCTCTTTAACAGCAAGGGTGACTTCGTGAGTGTCCTAAAGCTTGACGTTCAGAAGTGGTTGCAGGGTCACCATGAGAAAGTCTTCGTGATGACTGAATCTCTGAAGCAAGATCTCGATAACTTGAAAAACAAACTCTGTCGAACGCAGGTTAATTTTTCGTTAACATTCTTTGTGAAGCTATAATTGAGGAAGATCTTGCGTAGAATCCAGCTGACGCTCTGGATGTCATTGAGAAATGTGTCGCACGTGCTGAATCATGAGGGAAGATTTTTTTTTGGCTTGGCAACAATAGAACTGATTTGAAATCGTTGTAAAATACGATTTAAATATTTTGCAGGAAGGAGCTGAGGATCTTATTCAGATAATTTCAGCAGCTGAGGTCCAGAGGGATTTGTCTGCTGCTGCTGCTGCTGATGCCTCCTTATCCGCAAAAAAGGCCAGTGAATCTTTGATGGACGTGACTACAAACATAAACAGCGAGATGACTACTGCTCATCACAGAATTAAGCAATTTCAGGTAATTGTAATCTGTAAAGCTTGCGACAAGTCTTTTGAAAAGTGAACTTCCAGTTCGAAATGAAGATTGCAGTGGACTCTGGGACTGTAACGTCATAGTGAACGAATGTGCCGATCGTGGTTGCAGGAGAATTTGACAGTTGAATACAACGTTGTGGTCTCTGCAATGAGAGAAGCTCAAAATTTGAGTAAGGAATTGCAGAGAGAAAAAGAAGCTGCTCTTGAGGGGGTCCAAGAAGCACGACAAAGGCAGAAGGAATTGCAAGACTTCTTGGAAAAAGAGGGTTCCAAATTATTGATTACCTTGACGGAGGTCCAGAAAGAGCGTGACACCGCATCGCAAGCTGCTTTAGAGGCAACATCCTCGGCCACGAAGGCAGCAGAGGTTTTGGCTCAAATAATGGATTCTTACAACTTGGAAATGGCGAAGGCACGAGTCATGAGCATAGAACTTCAGGTAGAAAACGTAACAAATACTAGTTTTGCTCGAGGAAAGAATATGCCATTTAGAAGGTTTGTTGTTGGTGGTTTATTCAGCTCAATTTGCGCTCCCTCATGCATACCCTGGTTGTATCCAATCTATTAAGAATATTGAGCTTCCACTATTCCTCAGTACTTACGAGATCATCAAGCTGAAAACCATAAATGCGCATTTCTATAGACGGAGGAGTCAATCAGTGGTCTTGCGGCTATGGTGAAGGAGCTTCAAGAGTATAGAAACTATTATAGCGAAGAGAAGAAAAGGCGTATGGTTCTCAAGCAGCAAGAGAACAAGCGGAAGGAGCAACAATGGAACGGCGAAATAAGCGAGATCAATCAGGTGACAATCTAATTTGTAATCGTTTTCGTCCCAAATCAAGCAATTGCCCCTAGCAAGCACTCTCGTGTAACTTGCTTACCTGTTTACTGCTGGCTTGAGGAGCGTTTGATCCTCGAAATCAGAAAATTATCCATATTCCTGCTTTAGGCAAAGAAATTTCATATAGACAGTGTTCTAAAAATTACATGAGTAGGGTATTACAGTAACGAGAACGAATCATAAATGCAACCCATTTTATTTCACGTCTACAGGTGGTTCGAGTTGTAGAGAAGAGAGTGCTCGAAGTTTGTGGAGATCACACAGAAATAAGGAAAAGGCTTAAGAAATGTGAAGGAGCCCAAATGGACTTGGTTCACACTGTAGAGGAGGTGAGTTCAACCACGAATGAGCTTGCGAAAACCGTCAGTGGTTGGCTACCAAAATACGAATCTGCAGCTCGCATGGTAAACAACCTTTCTTGCAAAGTGGAGCTCGCAGAAGAAAAGCTCGAAGGCCTCACTGATGGCCAAAGCCTAGCAGAGCACATCTCCCGGGTTGCCGAAACGAAAGTACAAGGTTTGAAAGAGGTTGTGTTATCCAGTGCAGCCATAAAGGATATTGGCCAAGACCTTCGGGACCTTCATGAGCATGTAGAGAGCAGTGACCGCGACCACTGTCAGGTTTACATCCCATTCAACCAAATGTTTAACAGTGGAACACTTGACACATTTAGTTTGCTAAGATCAACTAGTTCGTCTCAATTTTAACGCGAATTGTTAAACTTCGGATACTCTTATTGTTTCACATGGGTTTGTTAAGTCCACCTAAATTTCATTATGGAATTTTACACCAAAGTTCACTGAGTATGAGGCATCCATTTATATCCAATTCCAGGCAATCGGGGAGGTTGCAATGCGCGTGACTGTGCTAGAACGTACCATAAGCCATGGACCAGCTGGTCAGCCTAGCCCTAGATTGTCTTTGAAGGTGGAATACGTAGACAATGCTGAAGCCCGAAAGCCAGGAATGGGGTCGCTATGCCAAAACGTCGAGGCACTGGAGAGGTGTTTTCTTGTCCTTCTCTTTATAAACCCAACCTGCTTTCTAAAACCGGCTTTGCCTCTTTACGCATGACATCTACAAACGATGTTGCCGCGTTACTGCCATTGCGAGAAATTATACAAAAAAAAGAAAGAAGAAAGAAAAGCGTAGAGGCTCCGCGTGAATGTTCTAAAATAACAGCAACAAATGCAGGAAAGCGGAATTCATGACGGAGCACACTGGAACTTCAGTCGGTGGTCATGAGCTTGCAACCGATTCTCGTCTTCTTGGACTGGAGAGCCGTATTGAACATGTTGCATCAGCAACATTTACAAATCTCCGGTGGGTCTACCTATTTCCTGGCAACACCTTAGCAATCATTTCCTTAGTAGACGGAAGTATCTGAAATCCAAATCAATATTCCTGATATTCTAATCCAAACTTCACCTTGTCTGCATTGCCATCAGTCTACTGGATAGCAAGGTAGATCGTGTATCATTAGGCATGCAATCTGCTGTTGAGGGGGCTGCTCTGGCGGAGAGCAAGTGCGGAGCTTTGGGCGCGGAGCTTGTCAAAGTATTCCGTATGCTAACAGCATGCAAGAACCCGACCTACAGCGGCAGCTTAGCAAACCGGCAAAAGTCAAACATTAAAACCCGACGTGGACGAAGCCTCTCACCTCCCGCTCTAAGCCCCAACCCCCAGCTTGACAGTCGAAGCCAATCACCTCGGATTCGATCCAACGACAGAAGGTGCAACAACAAAGCTCTTTTCTCTCCGACTAGACGACCCCGTGTTTCCGTCCCTTCAAACCGGCTAAAAGGTGGAGCTGGACAAAAGAGAGCAGCCATGTATCGTAATATAACTCAGAATGAGAAAGCCGACATGAGGAAAACCATCGTGGGCTCAGATTCTGGAAAAATGACTACAGTGGACCAAGTCGAAGGCCACAGCACGTGCTCCGGAGCATCCGAGGAGGGCAGCAGCCCCAACAAGACAATTTCTTACTACCTACGGACCTCTTTACACGACCCATTCATGGGTTGCAAATTACATACGCAGGAATCACAGCAAGCTGTGCACGATAGGCCAGAGTCACAGGCAAGCGAGAATCCTTTCCAGCTCAAACCTCGTTCCCCTTTGGAGGAACGGCCTGGCAGCGGGGACAAACCTGGAAAGCCGAACTCAGCGCTTCGCCTTGGAACAGCCCGTATGCACGTAAATGTCACCCATCGATCACCAGCTGTGAGCCAATCCCAGAAACGCGAGAATTTAATCGCCGTGCAGTCGTGAAGTATCTCCACCGATGTTCACGAGTACCAACAGCCTCGGCACTTCCAGTTCGACCACATCGATCGGTTCTGCGGAGATTTTCGGAGATTCAGATAAAATCGTGCAAATGAGTACGTGAATTCACCGCATCAGATCTTGCCTCTAGTGTCCTTTCACAACAAACTATGAGCTGATCGTTAGTTAAGATACTTTTCAACTTCTCAATCTTAATGACTTTTAATTCAATGGGTGTTCAGGTAACTTAGGTGCACACGCTCAACCGGAGGTCCTAGAAACGATCACATGTTCTCAAATCCAAGTAAGTGATCCTCTAGGTTCCTCTAGACCAAAACTTTGCGAATGTTTTGGAAGGCTTGCGATGCATCAGAGTTTGTTCACTGTTGATGAATTCTGCAACGTGCAGGAAATTCAATCTTTAAAAACCAGGTCCAGGATTCCAGGAAAGGTCTCGCCCTTGGTGTTTGTTGGCCGACGTGTCGGTAGAAAATACGTCGATGTGTGGAAAATCGCTCATCCGTTAACCCTTTTCAGATCCCGAGGATTTATTGTATTGTGTAGATGTGTTTCAAAACGCCTGTGAGTAAAAGTGATTCGGGGAATACAAGTTGTAGATAACTAGCAATAGATTATACCGATATGTTAGGATTTATCCACATAGTTACCAGTTCGTGTTTAATGGATTGAAAATAGGTTTTGCAGATATAAATATAGATTGATCAAATTCATAGATAATTCATGGTTGTATTCTAGTCTTTGTGAAGATGGGCTTGAAATATGGCAGATCAAACTTTTGGAGTTTTAGTATTGAGAAACTTTTGAGATTATGATATTTCCTTTCCTTAATTGAATACATTAATGCTTGCTATTTTTGGTTAAGAAATTCCAATTCATCCAGTTTGTAAATGTTTGTGTTAAAAACACAACTCAATAATAGACCAATTTAAATTGAAGCTGCTTGTTTATATATATGTATATATATATATATATATATACATATACACACACATACAATACTTTTTTCATAACCATCCCATCAAATTGATATTCTTTTCTTTAATAAAATTTACAAATACAATATATTTAATTTTCTTAAAGAATAAATTATTTTTTTGTATTTTGAATTCAATTAATTATTTAAAATAAAATTATATAGTAAAATTTTTTAAAACTTTACAACTTAGTAATTTTTCAAAGTACTATTTTATTTTATTATGAATAATAAGCTTTCTAGCATATGACATCTATAAATGTTAATGATCTATTAAAAAAAAATATTTATTTTATATTATAAAAGAAATATATATATTTTTATTTATATTTATTTTTCTATATATATATATATATATATATTGAATATAAATATTTATTTTATAATTTATAATAAAAATATTTTTTTAAAATTTAATATATTAAAACATTTTAAGTTAAAAATCAAAAACTAAATTATTTTATATTTTTATTAAAATTTCTAAGATATGAAAAAAATAAAAAATATGTGGTAATTTTATTTAATATAGATATAATTTGATTTAAAAAATAGGTTTTAAACTAATATATATTAAAACTTCTTCATTTATATTGATTTCCATTACTCTTATTTTTTGTACATTTGATGTCATAGTATCTTTTATAGATTATTGATTATTCTTTATTGTATTGCAATGCATTCTTTTATCAAATACTAAATTCGAGCAAATTTTCATCTTCATTGTAAATACAATACAACCTTCAAAATTCATCTACTTAAGTATAAGTATAAACCAAACTATAAATTTTTTTACAATATATCTTGTCTTTGTCAAAAAAAAACAAATGAACAAATTCAACCAAAATAAATAACCATATATATAGACTTATGGATTATAAACCATCCAAAATTATATCTATTTTATTGCAAGCTTTCCAAATCTTTGTTCTATTAGATTCAAGTCCAAGAATTTTCTTTATGTCTTGAATTGATTCTTTAGTTTTAAAACTAAACTCAAATTGTATTAAATATTTCAACATTTTATTACTCTTGAAGACATGCACATCTCATCACTTATACATATGTCATTGTTGTTTGGTATCATCTTAACAACATTCATTCCATGACATAATCTAAGGCACAATACAATTTCCAACCTAAAGCTTCTACAATTAATTACTGATACCATAATACTTTTCATGCCACAAACAATCATCTCTCACCAATCATCTTCTTCACCATATTTGATTGTTTGCAACTCTCAATACTGTTCTTTCAATTAATTAGACAAACCTTAAAAACTCTCTTATTTTCTTCACTTTTCTTCTTCTATTATACATGAAATGTCAAAATAGCAACTTTAACATTCACCTCATCTCTTCCTACTACAACAATAGTTTCCAATTTTTCCACATTCAACTATAAGAATAAAATCTTAATAATAAAAGTCAATGCTCAATCACTTGAAATTACACTCTAGTCTATTATTTTTTGTACTAAAACTTCAAATCATGTCCTTAGGATTACAAATTCTGGCCAAAAGAAATCTAAACTTCAATATTTATTTTATTTAGAAGCTATCAAAACCTCAAATCTACCTCATAAAAATCAAATGCTTGCACTTTAACTTCAAACAACTGCAATAATCAATGCAATGCATTTACTTAAGTATAAGGAGTCAAAATCCTATGCTCTCAAAATTACTCTTGTTCTTTGATCTTGCTGTGTAATCCACCTCATACCTCTCTACCCCACTCTAATAAAATTCTACATATATTCTATTCTACAATTGCCATAAGAATTCACATAATGCCATCTGTGATTGTCGTTTTACTTATTCTACAATTCTTTCTAGAATAAACCTATATAGGGGAATTCGAACATAGGGAAAGACTAAGCGAATGAATTTCACTTGTTAGGGTCACACAATTAACTGTATTCTGAACCACTAATATACTAAGAAATACTACAATACTTCCTCCCAGTAACAATACCCTTTCATCAACTGATAACCACAATGTGCAACCCTGCACTCTCAAAAGACCGCTCAAAATTCAATAAATTCCATCCAACACCAGGAATAACAGACTTCATTCCAACCAATCTGAATTCACAGAATTCCTGTAATCACAAACTTCCTCTGTCGAAACACACACACACAACTCTCAATAAACAACAATCATAATCTTCCATCCATAATCAATCTTCTAATAACTTCTCATATAATTCAATCACTGAGTACTCCAATTACATAATCAATAACTCATAAATCAATCACTGATTTATTCCACAGATTCACTTCTCAGTATTCAGAAACTATCCATTACTCTTCAACAATAAAGAAAACAAAAAAATAAAGAAGAAGCACGAGGCTTAACCCTAGCTCATGACTATCAGTCTGGCCCTTCGACAAACTTCTACAACTTTTATATAATTGCTACTGATTTCCAGATTCTAACCATAATCCTATAATAACCGCTTTTAATAACTGAATCAATCATCCATCCTCCTTAACTGACTATTCTATGAACTATTAGTTTATTTTACCAATATCTTATAAAAATGAACTAATATCTATTCTACATAGCCCCACTCCTATTTGTGCAACGTCCTTGCAAACACACAATGGATTCCTATCTAAAAACTACTTAACAAAATTCTACAAAATTACTAATTCCTCTGGCCCACCCAATTAATCATTTGCTGTATTATCGAATGTAGGTTCCATCGATTCTGGTTCTAAATTCAAATTTTTCTCCTCTTTCAATCTGTCCATCGGCTCCTTCCTCAGCTAGTTTGATAGATCTTCATTATACTCACCCAATTCACGGACTTGAGCCTTTAGTTTCAAGATCTGGGCATCACGGAGTTCCAACTGATGCTGCTGTTGACTCATCCATTTTGGAACATCTTCAATTGACACTTGAGACTGACTTCTCACTGTTAACTCTTTCGTCAATTTTGTCACCTCAGCTTGTAAAACTTCGATTTCAGACCTCAACTTCTTCGTTTTGCATCTGGATTGGTCACTCAATGTTTCTTTCTCTTTCGTTAATAACTCTGCCTTGTCTCCTTCCGCCTGCAACTGGCATTAGAGTTTCTCTTGTTCCAAATCCCATTTCTTACGATTCTGGATCAATTTGTTCTATTGTCCTTCTATAATCCATAAGATGTATTCTTTTTCTTTCGTCCAAGATTCATATTGGTGAACCCATTTCCACTCCAATACCAGCTTGGATTCCCCAATTTTTGCTCCAATATCAGCTTAGATTCTCCAATTTTGTTTATCATCCATTCTTCCTTTTCAATTCTTTGGTTTTGCTCTGATATCACCTTCTTACTGTCCTCTAAATCTCGTTTGCTATTGCCCTCTACATCCAATGCTCGCACCGTATAATGTATTTGTGAAATGTGCTTCAATAAAGCATTCTCAAGAGGTATTCCTTTGGGCAATCCACCTTGTGGAAACGCCAATTGATTAATATCCATCGAATTTGGAGTTTCATTCTCCTCCTCCACTACTAAACGAATTGGAATCCGTTTTGATTCAATAACTGGAACGACTTCTTGTGCCACTATATGACTTGACTCCCAAATTTTGTGTATTACATCCACTGTATTGACATTTTGTGCTAACAAATTTTGTTCTCTTTACGGAGGCACTGGCACTGGTACAAGACTGTTCTCTACTGGCGTTGTTTGATACAATGTGTGCGCGATCACAACATACACATAATTGAAACAAAGCAAATAAGTGAATTTCTGCAATTTCCACTTGGCTCTTATCTGCACATGAATACGAGTGACTACGTACGCTGCCTAGTTGAACACAATCCCTTCCAGCGCCTCTACCGCTGCATACAATAACCGTTTGGACATATATATGAGGTGTCGGTACAATCCTAACCTCCTCACCACAAATCGGAACCATTCCATGATGTCTTGTTGTAACACGAGTATACTGTGAAAATATAAAGAAAGGGGACTTTTATTAATGTTCAGTTACCTCGAATATTGGGAGCAACGACCAATTCCAGTGCCAATATTCAGGGGCCACTTCAGACACCCCATCATAGTTGGTCAGGGTATACTTACCAGTAACGAAATGCTCCATTCGAATCCAATAGTAGGAGTCAACAGAATCGAAAGGACTAAATCGATGACTGAGCGAGCCTGATGCAAAGGACCAATTTGATCCAATTACGGGAACATCCAAGTCTTACTACGGGCCTCTTAGCCAATATGAGACCTGATTTGGTAGGGCGACTCAATGTGGTCCCGATTATGGGGGTTTCGATTCTGTTTCAGGTTGTTCCATTCTTTGTGCCGTTTCGGGAATGTCCTTTTGATAAAAAGATCTCTTAAAGGCAAAAATGGAGGAGAAAGCTCCGTCGACTGTTCCAATTCAGGGAGTCCAAGGCGGGAGAATAGGATCTTCTCAAGGTTAAAGGGGAGAATTAGGATTTTAAGGGAGGAGGGCTAGCTTCATCCTTCGGGGGAGAAAAGACAGAGAATTGGGGTTTTTTTTTCATAGGGTTTTGGAGAAGACAGAGGCAATCGTTGCTCAAAGTCATTGTTGTATTGGTAAACTGGATTTTTTTTTTTTTTTTTTTTTTTTTTTTTGAAAGAGAAAAAAAATAAAAAAACATTCCGAAATGGTTAAGGTGGAGGAGAGGATTCAAAGATTCAAGAATTAAGGAGGTTAAGAAAAAAAAGAGGATACAAGGTTTTTGAGTAGAAGTCAGAAAAGGGACTTCTGGCGATCAATGCTGAAAGGTCAATGTATTGTACTGGTGAATTAGGGTTTTAATGAAGTAGGTGTGATTACTCTTGACTGTTTTGTGAAATCGAAGTTACATT